GTGCATATAAACACATGTCATGAGTAGATTATTTGATTTTGCACCTAAAGGACTTTTCGGCTTGAGTTGTTTACTGTATATCAGATTTTTTTATCCAGTTAAATTCAAGACATAAAAGTTTCATGTTCCCAGATACTTTTTTTTTCCAATTTAATGAATTTCCATTTTACAATAAAGAATGGACACACATTTCTCTCTCTACACATGCAAAGCAGGTAAACACACACAGCTAAATTCAGCAAACTTAAGCCAGGCATACACTGTACCATTATTAGCTCTTTTTGGGTCGATTCTCCAGTTGTGTGCTTCGTGTTGTGTACAGGGGATAACAAGGGCCGATCAGCCTCTCACGACCCCCTCCCGATCAGGAATCGTGAGGTGGGGAGAAAATCAAACATTTTTTAAAGTCAGTCGGCTGTCTTAAGGTCGCATCAGAGCGTCAAGCCACGCAAAATGCATCCTAAGCTGTGAACTTTTAAACCCTGCTGTTTCATTGTACAGTTTGAGCTGTAGCTGAGTACAATGATTGAAAATATTGCACAGTGTATGCCCGACTTAAGGTGATACAAAAAAAAATACATGCCACACTTTTCAGATTTGATCTTGTACAGAAAAACTTAATTAATCATTTAATTTTCACTTTAACAATTATAAACTATTTTTGCTTAGATCTATTACATTCAATCCAATGAAAGGTCAAGTTTGTGGTTGTAACATCATAAAATGTTTAGGTGTGATTACTTTTACATCCATAAAGAAGAAAGAAATGAAATTAGAGCCCTCACCTAACAGTCTGATTTAGACGTCAGATACTCTCTGGATTTCATGCCTGGTTGCTTGAGGTGTTAGTATAATGAAATCAGTTCTGATCTCTGCTCTACTTCCTCTCTGTCGCTCTGATGCTCATCTCTCGTCCCACTCCCACAGAGTTGACTCGTAACTCTGCTCTCTCTTCGGTAATCTTTTACTTCGGTCTGTCACATTTGTACCTGAAAAGACACAAATCACTTGGACAGTTCTAAGTATGTTCCTGAAAAGCATAATTTGGGGATTTCATTTCCCCCGTATTTCCTTCATGGTTGGACTGCTTGAATGATTTCTTTTTTATTTTATTTTTTGGTGCTGGTTTGTGTCGATGCATGAATCTTTTTCTTTATGTTGAGTAATTAGCCTGCAGAAGTCCTTTAAATGTTTTTTCTGCATTGCTTTTTCCCCTTTGTCCATGTCTTGGTATGACCCCCTACCAACACGTTTCTCTGCCCTCCTGGTGTCTCTGTTGGTCCTTCAGTTTGTTTGATCCCTGCCCTGCTCTTCTCTCTGCGTTACGGCTGGTTGAGCTGCAGATCAGATGAGATTGGAGGGAGGGGATTCCTCACTGCTGCATTTCTTCCCTCATGACAGAGAAATTCAATCTTTTACTCACTCTGTCATTTTTTTCTACTTCTTTTCCCCCACAGTCCTTTTTTCTCCATCTATTTTCATTCTAACCGCAGCTTCAGTCCTTTTCATGCATGTATTGCCAACCCTCTCCTTCTATCATCACCTCTGCTGTAATAGTTAGAGTCCAATAGACGGTCCATCGGGGCTGGTATAGCAAAGAGGAAGGAGTGTCAGAAGCTGTTAAATATCTTATCAGAAAGCACGTAATTCAGCTTGATATCTTATCCGCAGTGTAACTGTAGATCTGCGGTCTCAGAGACAGGGCTCTCTGCGCCTCTATGTGATCAATAATGAATAGATCCCAGTACACTTTTAGCATTGGGTGTGCATATTATTTATGAAAGGGCGCTTCTGAAACATAGAAAGAAAAAAAAACATTGTTTTAAGGATTTTTAGTGTTAGATACGTGATTTTTTTTTGTGTGTGTAAAAAATACAAAAGAAAAAGTGAAATATTTATGTTTCTTTCCATCTTTCTATTGTAAATGATTTAGACAGGATGTAACAGATCGAAGTATCTACTAACATGTGGCAAAAGGTGCTCTGCTGCACATTACTGTGAACTTATTTAACTGACCATTACACATGGTGGTGGCAGCATCATGTCGTGGGGAAAAAAATGGAGGCTGTAATAAGCTGATTGGGAGGTCAGTGAAGATAAATATTGGGCACTTCTGGAAGAAAACATGTTGAGGCATCAAAAGACCTAAACTGGAGCTGAAACGTTGAAAGCAAATATATTTTAAAGGGCAACAGCGTTTTTTTTTTATTTTTTTTTTTATTTTTTTTTACATTGGGCCCTTGATTTTACGTTATTACATCATGTTCTACTCACCCATATGAGTTTTGTGTCATTTGGAGCCATTTTAAAAATATTCTGTTAGGTTATATCGAGGTAACGATGTCTAGTGCTACTGCCACAGATGATCTCGCTCTCGAAATGGAATTGAACGATTCAGATTAGCTAGCGGAATGAATATAAGGGGTAGAGCGTAGCCGCCTGGTGTAATGTACATTGGTTAATTAAAGTTTTTTTTTAAGAAAAACCAAAAAACTCCAGTCCGGCGCGCGGATGACGTCATAAACGCTCCGCTTTGTTTTTAAAAGATAGAAATATAAAAAATATAACCGCGGCTGTCTGGGGGACAGTGATTCGCCCACATGTTATGAATCCTGGAATACCATAAATGATAAATTATGAACAGTTTAGTTTGTGCCTTCAAGTCATTTGCCCATAGGAAGACGTTACTTGGATATAACCTAACCTAATTTCTTCAGAACAGCTCCAAATGACACAAAACTCATATTGGTGGGTAGAACATGATGTAATAGCGTAAAATCAAGGGCCCAATGTAAAAAAAAAAATCAAAATTCCCCTTTAAATTGCCTAGTCAAAGATCAGATTCTGTTTGGGACTTTTGGTCTGGTTTTAAGGCTTGACTGAAAATCAGTCCTTTAATGACTGAGAAGAAACAAAATACTCAATTTTTGTGCTTAAATATTGTAACTTATAAAACCAAAAAAATAAGATGTACAGAGAATTTAGCAGCTTTGATTTGGAGTGAAAGTTTTTATTTGTACTTTTTTTTTTTGATACCACACTTTAAGATTTTTGCTTCCAAGAAAAATGCCTTAAATCCAGGCTGTGAAGACTTTGACTAAATAAACATGTTGGTGTCTCTACTAACACGTCCAACAGCAGGTTTCAATTAGTTCCCAGCCTGTAGCAGACAGAATCGATGGTTCCATTATCATTGGGCTCCTATTGATCGGTTTGGAGCCACTAATAGCCCGTTTGCCCCCTGACACCCTGGTTTCAGAGTGGGTTTGTTTCAATGGGTGCAGATCAGAACACCACAGTGCTAGATGGACAATTAAGTGGTTGGAAAGCGACCTTAAGTACGACAAATGGATGAGGTGGTGAAGGAGAAAGAGAAGATGGAGAATTAGGCTAATAGCTCCTGTGAGGATTTAGGAACGCCGTTTATCTCAATATGATGGAAAATACAAAAATAAAGAAAAAGCACAGCTTGTTTTGGTGAAGCAGTTTTGTTTTTCTTAACATTATATCTTTATCTACATTTTAATTCTAACAGCTGCTGGCCTTCCTTTTCATGTACCCTCCCATCCCGATCTCCATGCTTTCCTTTGTTGTTGCCGATCTGCTCCAGAGAGCAAGAGTGACGGCAAGTGAGAGACGGAGAGTAGCTTGTTTCCATGGAAACGGGCTGAGCCTGATAAGCTTGGGTTCTTGTGTTGCTGAGTCTTCTCTGCGTGTGTCTGCATGATAAAGGTCTGGTTTTCGCTGGTTAAGAGGAGGGATGATGATTGATGAGGGTCTGATTCACTGGGCAGTGCAGATGCTCAGATGAGCTGATGATGCGTGGTTTAGAGTCTCTTTAGTTCTTACCTCCGTGCTGCAGGTCAACGCTCTTATCAGAGCTCCAGCAGTCATCAGGATCACCATGGGCATCACCATAGCAATGACATCTTATCCAGGACTTATCTGAGAAAAGCAAAGCTTTTGTTTCTCTGGGTGATTTGCTTTCTTGTTAAAAGCAGAGACGTTTTGAATTGGATAAAAGCAAAGGGGGCATTTCTTCTTTGGAAATCACTTACTCAGATGTTCCGCCTTTTCAGCGCTAAACGCTCTATGTTACTCAAACGGCCATCTTCCGTTGAAACAAATTACTGTATAGAGATCAGAACATGTGACCTCAGACAACCTTAACCTCTGCTGTTACAGGGAGATCCAAAGCTGGACATAAATGAACAGCAAACACGGTGGCAACATGCTCACCAATACTTTGTGTGTCTCTGATTTAATGAGGTAGAAACTGATAGGAGGGGAAAATAAATAGTTAATCACTGCAGATACCATCACTTTTTCAATATGACGTTGGAGATCCAGCTTTCATCATTTCTTTAGCCTCTTTTAAAATAGAATTCAAACCTTTTGGGCAACATAAATATCTCTATTTTTTAGCAAGCAAGATTTCTAAGTTGCTATTGAAGTTGCATGATATATGAATCGCTTACTTTCATCACTCTTTCTTCTCTTTAAAGCTCTTTACCTTCATAATTTAACCCTTATTAAATGTTCAGCTTCAGTCTAATATGTCTGTCACTGAGCACCATTCTCAAAATGTCTAATTGGTCCTCTAGAGGGGCCTGATTCAGCCTGAAATAAAGTTTGCAGTTTTTTTTTTTCCTTTAAAATCAAATAACAAAAAAAAATAAAAAATAAAATAAAAATAAAATAAAATAACTAAGTTGTGAACTCGTTGAGAGAAAAGGTGTAGGTGGGAAACTTATCCAGACATAGAGATAAATATTGTTTGACTTTGGAGGCTGCAGTTTGCTTATGAAAATAGATAAACCGAATTAGATAAACAAGCAAAGAGATATTTATGTTGAAACATAAGAATTAGTCTGTAATGAAAAAGCCTGAATGCCTTAGTTGCTCTCAGTACTTTATTTTTCTTTCAGACAATCTGTTACTGGTGAATCGAAGCAATGCAACATGTTGCTAATGAGAATGTCTTTCTGTCTCTGCTGCAGAACTCCCAGAAGAAAAGAGCAGTACGAACCAGCAACAAACTGGACAAGAAGCCTGCTCCCCAGGTAAGCCATTACCAGGATATCAACATACACACACTCCTTTTGACGGGTTTGACCAATCGATAGGAGAATCACACCGCTGTCCCGGCTGCCAAAGAGGCTTAAACCCAGAGAGCGGTGGACATTGATCCACCATGAAGCCAGAGAAAAGTGAGAAAGAAGTAAATCAGTTTCCACAAAGGAATCACCAATGCTTCATTATCCTCCATTCTGATCACCAGACAGAGGTTTCTGGTGAACACTGACCGTCACTACAACTGATCTCACTATTAGAACAAGGCAAACTTTAAAAAGGTAGATTTTAGTTCAGATAAAATCAAACATGACCCACAGTTTGTTGTTTAAACTGCTCCTAATGCGTCTGATTTATCTCCCTATTGACACATAGGGTTCTTCAGCCTGAATGCTTTGACTTTAAAGCTGTTCAGTAGAGTAAAAGTCTTTGATTATTCACATTTTTAAATATTTATCTGTTAATTTGATGATTTTAACAAAAGAAAGAAAATCTCAAAGACAAATGACCTATAAATCTGTATTTATTTTGGATTATAGGTCATACATTAGGGGTTTGCAGTGAAGTAAATATATCTCGCAGAAGAATTAAAAAGATATATTCAACGGGTTAATCCTTTTTAAAAATATATCTATTTTCTAATTTCAAATTTTAGAAGATTACAATTTCTCTTTTAGACATATTTGTAAAATATTTTAATTATATCTGTTTTCTCCTTTTGGAAAAAAATGAAAAAGTGTTAACGTTAAATAGTTATGATTTCAAAGTGCTAAAATGAGTACCCTGCCTATCTGTGAGTCACTAAAAACAAACAAACTAAAACGGACTGCAGCATCTTCTTTCACAGATTAGCATTTACAAGCTGTTATTCACATTTAACACAATATTGGTGAAAGTGTTTTTCTTTGCTCTAATTAATACCAGATGGGTCCAAATTAAAATCTAATCTAAATTATAAAATCTACTTTTACATGAGCCTAAGGAGCCTTGTGCAATTGGTCATTGATTTGGGAGCAATTGATTCCAGTCGGTGTTACACATGTCTGCTAATCTATTTTATAAACTATTAGTCCTGACACTAGGAGGGGGAGGTGGGAGCAGCTTTGCATTTTATACAAGAGATGACCAGTGTTAGAATATTTTTAAATATATAAACCTTTCCTTAACTATGGGATTTCCAAAATATTGATATTCGTTTCACATCTGGTTTAAACCGAATTGGACTCTTAAAATGAATGAAATGAAAATGCGCTTTTGGTGTAGCTGTAGGTTAGGCTGAAGGCTAAACTCTCAATGATTGATGAACAGAAAAGGCTGACTTTGCTCAAGAAAAAATACTGGTGTTTTTTAGAACCTTCTTTCACTCATTATTTATTTGATTTAGTGTTTGCCACCTCTGTGAATGTGAAAGTAGATAACTTTGAGTCATCTTCAGAGCGCAGCCTGTTAGGACCAAGGCATCACTGGCTGCAGAAACATTTGATCTGTCATCAGTTAATTTACCTCAATCACTCACAAACAGGGATAGTGATGCATCTTTGCTAATAGATTCTTATTTATTTATTCTAATATGATTTAGGACAGTAAAATCTTTTCATATACGCTAAACCCTGAGCAGGTAAACTAAGCAATTCTCAAATGCAAATAAAAAAAACAATCACAAACTATTTGGCTCGAAAGAAGCAGGTTCATATAAATGTACAAACAGACTTATTTTTGTTTTTTTAAGATGCCTCCTGTTGGGATGTTTCCAGCTACACATCCTAACTCTCACACAATCAGACATCCTGCATGTTTGATTAATTTTCCCCTGTCAAATAACTCACAGTGTTTTGACCCTTTTTCTACTGGAAATTAGATTGTTTAGCTTCTGTTTGTTTATTTTTCTATCTTGCATTATGATACATATGCAAGTCTCTATGCATATACATTTTTAATTTGTTTTGGTGTCAGGGATAACAATGAATTTTCTTTACACATCTGTTCCATATTCTGCAGATTGCTTCAGGTTTTAGCTATGCTTAACTGATTAAAACAGCACTTATGTATCAGGGTAAAAAAAACAAGAAACAGAATTCAGGTAAATCTCTACAACAATGTCTTCAATTTGTTGTAAAGACGTGGCTTGGCTCCCTCTTCCAGACCACATACCATAAATGGCTGTAAATTCAGCTCCCCTCACTCCGTCTAATGTGGTTGGAGTCGCTCCACAGGCAGTAAAACAAACACAGCCGCAGAGCTGCTTCTGGGGAATGTGAGCACACGGTCACCTGAGGTCAGCGGTAAGAAGGGTGGAGAGTTTAGAATGAGAAAAAAATGTATTTATGACTAAAATTGTATTATTATTTTTGGGGTATTATGGTAACCGCACACTTATGTATGATAAATAATAATAAAACAGGCTAAAAATGCTGATTGGTTTTTACTTTATTTCACAAATCCCCTAAAAAAAAAAGATAAAAAAAACACATTAGAATATTCTTGCTTGTTAAAAAAAAATTGTTTAATTGTTTGGTTGTTTTTACTAGTTGGAAAATGTAACAACAAATAATTTCCATTGAAGTTAAATCTGTGTGCCAGAACACAGATGTTTTCTCCCCAACAACATGGACTTTAAAGGGGCCTAATCACACACTGGGACCTTATGAATTTCTGCTGTGGCTCACTCTGGTTCCATACAAGGAGTCCCTGATTAAATTAAAGCCGGGCATACACTGTACCATACTTTCAATCATTGTACTCAGCTACACCTCAAACTGTGCAAAGGAACAACAGGGTTTTAAAGTTCACAGCTCACAATTTATGTTCTTACACTGCACATCTGAAAACCACACGTTGAACTCAGCGTGGAGAGATGGAGTTGATCGGACCTGTCAATCTGGAAGAAGAATAAGACTCCCTTGTTTGAACATGCGCGGTGAACGAGGTTCAGATAATTTGGCTTGTAGATGCTCGTAGCTCTGCTTCAACAGCAGGATTTGTCCACAAACATCTCACAATGGCCGACTGAATTTCAAACATGTTTGATTTTCTACTGACCTTACGATTCCTGATCGGAGGTCGCTATGAGAGGCTGATCGCCCCTCGTTACCGCCGTGTACAACACAACACACTGAATTCGGCCCAATCCAAATAATTCTCGCACGAGTACAGAATTGGCCAGAAAATGGCAAAAACTTGCACGTTGTATCCCTGGCTTAAGAAAGAAGAAGGTTTCAAAGATCAACTGAAACAACGTTTATGAGGCCATTGCAAAACCTCTTCTCAGGTGCAAAAATGACTAAGTAAACACTATGAGGACCAATGATTGGCGCATACTGCTTTAGTCTGAAATCAAACTATGGCCTGTTTTTTACAGTCATAATAAACTTTTAAAATTGGACTTACTGAATCTTAAATGTTTTAAACTATTAGAGTAAACTTTAACAATGTTAAAGTGTATTTGATGTCATCCCCAGATCCAAGTTTCTATCTCAGATGTAAATTAAACAATAAAAATACATTCTGAGCACAACTAAGGCACCGACACTGGTTATTGTGTCACAGTTTGAGAAACAATGCTGTAGATCATTGCTTGTCAAAGCTAGTATAACACATTGCACAAGCATGTGTGTGTCTCCATGAACCTTCCTGCGTCAGCATGTTTATGATTCCTTAGAAAATTATTTTAAAAATAAAAGAAAGGCTTTCGAAAATTGTTTCATTAAACATGTCAGGAAGCACTCTTTTCTCTTGGTTTCACACGTAAACTCCCTTTTATTAATACATTAAGATGTCTTCTAAGTATTCTTTTATCAATTGAGTTTGAACATGTTTGCATAGGGTCTGTGGAAAATATACCGGTCATTTATCCTTTTTTTATTTTACATCCATTAATCCTTATCATAAGGAAATGCAAAGTTTTGCCTCTACTTTACCTCTACTTTTTTCTAAGCACTTTGTTGTTCTTCCAGTCAGGAAGGTAGGAAATATTCTGAGCAGATGATAAATGACGTCTGCTGGAAACCACTAATGAATATGTTTGCTGATGTTTCTCTGCTCTCTAAGAGCTTTTTATTCCTTTAAATCAGCCAAGATACAACCACAGCATGACTCTGACCTCAGCATTTAGTGGTTTCACTCCACATGTTTGTCAAAAGGAGGCTTTGGATATATCTTATTTGAAGTTCGCATAGTTTCTCTGATGTCTTGCCCATCATGATGTGAAAACACAGGCACAGTTTTAAAAGCACCGATGATTCGGCTGTGATGTTCTACACCTCAGGACTTTATTTTGTCAGTTTTAAATTTTGAAGACATAAATTGGAGCAGCCCTGCTTGAAGTGATCTGATTGGTCAGCTTGTTTTTTTCTCTTTGCTATGCATGGTCGGGTGTTTGCTCAGCTTTCACTGACTTGTGTATATCTGTGCTGTCAGGTTCTCTGTTCCTCCCCGTCTAACCTCTAAAAACTGAGCGCCTTTCTCACTTTAAGTTGCTCATGTCTTTACAGAAGAGGGGGTTCTCAACTTTGATGACATTTCACGGGCTTTTAAAAGATTAAAAACAATTCACATAGGTGTGTAATGATTTATTTTGAGTTTATTTATGTTCATGATTCATTACACGTACAACTAGAACAAAAAAAAAACAATCTGAGTAGTAAGTCGCTCTTTGCAATCTCTAGGGAACATCGCTTCTCCGTGCCTTAATCCACTCAGTCCTTTTCTTTCCGTCTCGCTCCAGGAGGACAATTCAGACCTGAAGTGTCAGCTCCACTTTGCCAAAGAGGAGTCAGCCCTGATGTGCAAAAAGCTGACCAAGTTGGTGAAGGACAGCGAGGCCATGAAGGAGGAGCTGGCCAAGTACAGATCGCTATATGGAGACATCAACACCTCACTCACTGTGGAGGAGGTGAGAGGATTGACCACGACCACTTAAAGGTTGCTAGATGTAGCCTCCGACACCATATGAGATAAAAATTTAGCATTAGGGATTTTAAATCCCTAATCCAGAGGAAATAATCAAGTGGCTCATTTAGGGATTTGACTTTTGGTGGAGATACATGGAAAAAAACTTACAAGGAAAAAAACATGAAACCTCTATAAAGTTAAAGTCAAACTTCTTTCATGAAATAGATTTTTCTTAACATTTCATTACAATTGTGAAGATTGTCAGTAGTCCAGGTCATGGTCAATTTGAATAGTTCATTTTATGCAACTGGACGTGTTTTCTAGAAGACGTTTCACCTGTCGTTCATAACAATTTTATTTGCTTTTAGCAGTGTGAGTGGATAAACATTTAATTTTCTTTAAAAACTTTAAAGACATCCATGCAGGCAACAGATTTGGATACTTATTTTGTTGCCGTCTTAAAAAGGTTTTAAAAGGACAAAGTTGAGCTGAAAGATTTAGAGATGAATTGTGTCACGATGCTGAAGGCAGCTGTTTATCGTGTTTGACTTCTCTCAGGTTGCTGACTCTCCGCACACTCGAGAAGCTGAGGTCAGAGTTCATCTAAAGCTAGTGGAGGAGGAGGCCAACCTGCTGAGTCGACGCATCGTGGAGCTGGAGGTCGAGAACAGGGGCCTCCGAGCAGAGATGGACGAAATGAAGGGCAGTCAAGGTAGCTAGTCTTCCAGCTCTTTACTGTTTACCAGGGATGATAGTTCACATGTTAGCAGGATATTTGGTAGAAGGTATCTACAGATTAGAGATAAATTAACACACCAGCCAGCCCATATTTTTGGTTAATATTATCTTGTTCCAGCATCACCCCGGGCATGCGTTCAATAGTGCATTCCATTGTTAATATTTGTTTAATTTGTCAAGAAATTTTTCCTTTTTGTTTAAACTGCGATTATGTAAGTTATCTTTTTTTTCAGTTTTTATTATGTAAATGGAGGATGAAAAACAGTCATGGCTTTAGCCAGTATTGCTTTGGCTTTATCTAGGCATTAGCTTTAAGATTTTACAGAATCAAATAATTTGTTGAACATCCGCCCCAAGCCCTAAATCTCTCAATCACTATATAGAGCGGGGACTATATAGTAGACTTTGTGTTCTTTGTCATAGGCGACAGTAAGCGGCTGTGACAATAAATCCCATGATGCTTTGCAAGGAGAGCTCTCCTTGGAAAGCATTCCGGGATATATCTGTTCATCTAGTGACCAGGGATGATTGTATTGGCTTAGCTTAGTAAAGCTTAGTTCACTTTAGCTACTCTGGTTTATCCTAGGCTAGTTTATTTTATTCTAGTTTAACCTGATCGGTCTAAGCCTAACTCACTACTCGGGCTTGGCTTCATTTTATCTTAGCTTATGTGGGTTAGCTTAGTATAGCCTAGCTTTAGCCTACCCTAACTTACCCCAACTTACCTACTCACCCTAACTTAGTTTAATTCAGTGTAGTTTAGCTAGATTACTGTAGCTTAGCTTTAGCCTAACCTAATTTACCTCAACTTACCCTACTCACCCTAACTTAGTTTCATTCAGTTTAGTTTAGCTAACTTACCGTAGCTTAGTTTTAGCCTACCCTAATTTACCTCAACTTACCCTACTCACCCTAACTTAGTTTCATTTAACCTAACTTAGTTTCATTTGGCTAGCTTAGCTTTAGCCTACCCTAATTTACCTCAACTTACCCCACTCACCCTAACTTAGTTTCATTTAACCTAACTTAGTTTCATTTGGCTAGCTTAGCTTTAGCCTACCCTAACTTACCTCAACTTACCCTACTCACCCTAACTTAGTTTCATTTAGTTTACTTTGGCTAAGTGTACTCCAGCTACTAAGAAGTCAGAGTAACATATTTTCTGAGCTGATAGCGTTCCAGTTTGCCTGATTTGGACTCTTATATTCTCCATCATTGACCACGTTAGCCCCAGCTGCAACTGTGGTATTTCACTTTTTTTTTTCACTTTATTTTCTAAACATATGACTCTCTGTCTTTATTCCTAGACGGCGCTCAAGAGCTTTCTGGTGTTGGTGGTGGTCAGGGGGGAGGGCTTTGTCTAACAGGAGGGGCCGTGGTGCTTGGTGGAGGCGCCTCATCTGAAAACGTTATGGAGCTCCAGAGGCACCTCCAGTTTGTGGAGGAGGAAGCTGAGCTGCTGAGACGATCTCTGATTGAGATGGAGGAACAGAACAAACTCCTGATGAATGAGATAAATCGCTATAAATCTGAGCTCCCACCTGCAACCTCCACCCTATCCTCCGAGTCCCTGATGTCTCTGACCGACGGCCTGCTGAATGACTCGGTGCAGGACGGGGCTGTGCTCATCAGCACCGACACTCCGACCCCCGAAGAGGAGCTGAAGCTGGCGAGGCTTCAGATCGGAGAGATGAGCGGCAAAATGAAGAAACTGCAGTATGAGAACCGCGTACTGCTGTCCAACCTGCAGCGCTGCGATCTCGCCTCTTATCACGCTCCTTCCTCCTCATCCTCCTCATTAAGACTGGCTTTAGAAACAGATGCAGAAGCAGGAGACTCAGCCGAGTGTCTCCCTCTCAGGTACATGAAGATATTTTTGCTTTTGTCCAGTGCAGGTCATAGTCATTGCACAAAAGTAAAAAAACAAACCACTAGACTTTGTTCCCAAGTTTGAAGATGTTTCGCATCTCATCCAGGAAGCCTTTTTTAATTCAATGTCATTTTATTTTGAACTAAAAAAGCTTCCTGGATGGGAAGCAAAATGCTTCAAACTTGGAAACAAAGTCCAGTTGATTGTTTTTTAACTTTTTTGGAATAAAGATTTATTTTTGCAACTCCTCTTTCAGCAATATTGTCCCTTCATTCTACTGTGTCTCTATAAATAGCAGCTCTTAAGACACAATAAAAGTCTTTTTTACATTTTGTTATCAAGACAAAGCTACTGGCAGTGGAATTTAAAGTCCCACATTTTTAGATAACAATTAGTGCTGCACCGATACCGATACCAGTATCGGGCGGGGCCCCGATCCAGCACTAAAATGGTGGTATTCGGTATCGGTGGGTACCAACAAAGAGGACACGGATACCATTTTGAGAGCCATAAGTTTATTCAACTATTGTCACTCATTCCAGGTAGGCAATAAAAAGTTCTACTGGATTCACTTTGTATTAGTCTGTTTCCTGCTTCACAAAGGTAGGCAGCAGCTTGACAAAGCCATGATGGCAATTTTTTTACATCCAAGTAGTATGCAGTTATTCATATATATACACACACACACATCAATTTCAAACAGATTGTATCGGTATCGTATTGGTATCGGCCGATACTGCACAGCCAGGTATCTGTATCGGGGCCAAAAAAAATGGCTTCGGCGCAACACTTACAATTGAGATTTACATAGCAATGATTAACCAATGTTGTTTTCTACAGACATTTGTCAGTAGAATCATAAGAAATCTTAAAAACAAACAAAACTCCATTAGAAAGCTGGCACTCCTTGAGCCATTTATTGGACAAGGTTCAAATATCTTGTTAAGAAATATTTGTTATGAGAACACCTTTTTCTCTTAACATCTTCTGATCTAGGAACAAAGAGAACAATCCAGCTCACCTCTCTTCTTCCAGGCAGATTTTTTTACTCTTTGTATGTTGAGTTTGAGTCTTGGAACAGAGTTTGCTTAGAGGAAGGTTTATTTGTGTTCTGCTTAATCATTTCTGTTCATTTGGCAATTACCCTGCACAGTTATAGCAGGTATACCCAGGAGAGGTCGCCTATCCATCGCAGCCAATATTAAACCCAAAAAACTAATTCCACTGCGGTCAAAAGTCAATGTTTTTGCTCTTTAAAGTCCTTACCATGCCTGGGGGGAAAATCTTCCACATAAAACCCAAATTTTTAGCATCTAGAAGTAAAGTTTGGAGCAGATCAGACAGCTGAGTTTCCAACAGTTTCCACCGTTGTCAAAACTCTGCATAGGCAGAGAGCAGCCTATGTTCAGGATGATCCACATAATAATCAATGTGGATAATAAAAACAAGTCAATGCATTCATGCATTTACAATAATAGAACCAATAACTTTATTTTGTTTACTTGTGTTTTTATAGAGCTTTACAATTACTGTTTTTTATGTCACACTGTAAGTTAATAACAGCAGAATAGAGCTGAATCAGCTCCAGCTGTTGGTTGATGCATGGACCGCAATGCATGCAGATTAGAGCGGTGCATTGAATCTCAATCATCATTACAAAATCTAAGTTGCAAACGGCTGCATTGATGCACTTCAAATGTCATTAATTTTACATAAATGTCGATGCTGCACATTGACCGGGAGGCTAAAGCTCAGGGTGAGCAGTGGGGATGTAGTGATCATTAAAAAGGTTGAGTTTGTCTGAAATATTGTTTTCTGTTATTTTGCATTCCTGATGTGTTTATAACACGCAGTGGTTGTTGAAGAGGTTTCAGGCTAGAAGATGACACTGTTTGCTTTGGTTTGTTTTGTTTCCCTCTTGCATTAACTCCACCCAGCTGCGGTTCACTCATGGATGGGAAATGCGCAGAGGATCCATTTTGTTTGGACAAAAGCGGGTTTGTTTGGACAAAAGCAGGATAAAGAAAATAGATCCTGTCCTCTAAGACAACCAGTATGCTGAAACTGAATTGTGGTTTGTTTTTTTCAGCCCACCCCATCGCAAAGAGCCAGTAGGAGGAGAGAACGATGCCATTGAGATGGATGAAGAGAAAAAGAAGATTGAGGACAACGCTGATGCAACGACCTCGCTCTCTGGGTGCCTGGGGCAGAAGGACCGCGATGCCTTGTTGGCCATGAGGGATCAGGCTCGTTTGGTTTCCACTGCTATACAGCTGCTGACCTCCCCCGAGTCCAGCTGCCTGCCCTCCTCCTCTCCTTCCTTGTATCACAAGGTCTGCAGCAATGAGGCAGCAGAGCCGTGTGACCTGGAGAAACCTCAGCCTCACTGCCAGGTACCAGCTCTGTTTGTTTTTCAAGCCTAAACGCGTCAGAGGAAACCGGTAACATGCAGGATGCTTCTGCTGGGACACATATCTATTTATAGGGTGAAACCAGATTTTCCAACGTGTCCTTACGCTTGTGGGTGATACTTATCTCTGCCAGTGTTGAACAACTTTGTGAAGAATGCTGCTTTTTCTTCTCCCCAGATCTCAGAGCTGTCTGATTTGGCAGACCGCCCTCTGGTTGGTGCTCTAACCAGCAGGCTTCAAGCTCTGCACACCCAGCTGCAGGCCTTTGTTGAGCAGGTAGACAGTCTGGCTAAACCTCCCCTAGGGGGAAGGGATGGTCAGGTGGAAGGAGCATCCCCCCCAGCATCACCTTGCACCTCCTTACCCTGCTCAGGAGATAACGAGGAAAACCAACCGGAGGAAAAGGTACAACTTCAGGAAGCACAGTCCTCTCCATCACCTTCCTGTCCTTTCATTTATTTATATTTATATATTTTTAGAGATACACTTTTTTGTTTATTTCTTGTTCTTTTATTATTTAATGCCCAATCATTATTTTGGCCGACAACACTCTCAGTCCTATTCTGCCATGCTATCTTTCTTTTTTTCCCCGCGCAATGCAGAATTCCTTTACGCAGCGTGCTCAAATCTCCAGCAACCTCTTAGCCAACTCAACAACACCATTTAATTGGATTTGCTGTTATTATGCAGGCCAGAAATTTTTGAAGCATTTCAGCTTTTACAGAATCCATTATTTTTGGTCAGATTTGAGCTCCCAGTGTAAAAAAAATAATTCTCCATGTCTTCTGCATGCTGTTTTAATGCCTCCTAACCTTTAAATCCTGCTTGGGGCCTCAAATGGAGCCAGTTGCCTGGACATAAAAAGGTTAACCACTTCCACACCTAGTTTACTACAACCGGCACTGAGCAACTGTGTCCATTCATTTTATAATTGGGAGGTATATCTTTAGTTGAGTTGGTGTCATGAGTCTCAGTTGGTTCTCTTCATGTGGTGGTCGTTGTTTCTGTTGTGTCATCTGATGATCTGGATCAATAAACAGAACTTACTTTAAAAATCCAACAGTCAGAACTCAGAACATTGTTTTTTTTATGTGCTGCACAAATATATTGAATTTCTGTATGAGGTTTATGCGCCTTCACTATCAGTTTCAGCTTTCCTTTTCAGCTGATTGGGCTAGAAATGAATTTAACCTGTAAATTGCAAGACTTTAACGACTGAAGAATTTTTTCGAATCATACTTCACTGTTGTGAAATCAATTCATAAATTCTAAGAGGTAGTTTTAAAGCTCTCTTCCTAACATCTAATCATAACTAAACACTTTGCCGGGGCTTACCGTGAAAAAAATAGATTCTGAATTTAAACTGTTTCCTGAAACTCTTAACTGCAAGCTAATGTGTTCTATCAGTATAAACAAAATCATCATGGAACACATTGGAGGTAAATAGGAATGTCATGTTGAGGTCTGCAGTGAAGAGAGCTTGAGGTGCAGGTTAGCCAGTGACTTCACAGCGTCGCTTTTAGCCTCACTAATTGAAATATTTCACTGCAGCTTTAATTGGCTCCTCTTTATTTTTAGTGAATTTTAACAGAAAATCTAATAAACTCAACTGAAATTTTAAATTAAAGTCAGCTTGATTTTAAATTATTTCATGTCTGGTCATCGTTTTCTTAGCCTTGTTTCATTGGTAATGAAATTTAAACCCTATGAGGAATTATACAGGTGCTGGTCATAAAATTAGAATATCATGAAAAAGTAGATTGATTTCAGTAATTCCATTTAAAAAGTGAAACTTGTATATTATATTCATACATTACATACAAACTCATATATTTCAGATGTTTATTTTGTTTAATTTTGATGATTACAAATGACAACAAATGAAAATCTCAAATTCATCATATCAGAAAATTAGAATATTGTGAAAAGGTTCAAAATTGATGGCCCCTGGTGCCACACTCTAATCAGCTAATTAACTCAAACCACCTGCAAAAGCCTTTAAATGGTCTTTCAGTCTAGTTCTATAGGCTACACAATCATGGGGAAGACTGCTGACTTGACAGTTGTCCAAAAGACGACCATCGACACCTTGCACAAGGAGGGCAAGACACAAAAGGTCATCGCTAAAGAGGCTGGCTGTTCACAGAGCTCAGTGTCCAAGCACATTAATAGAGAGGCGAAGGGAAGGAAAAGATGTGGTCGAAAAAAGTGTACAAGCAAGAGAGATAACCGCACCCTGGAGAGGATTGTGAAACAAAACCCCTTCAAAAATGTGGGGGAGATTCACAAAGAGTGGACTGCAGCTGGAGTGAGTGCTTCAAGAACCACCACACACAGACGTATGAAAGACATGGGTTTCTGCTGTCGCATTCCTTGTGTCAAGCCACTCTTGAACCACAGACAGCGTCAGAAGCGTCTTGCCTGGGCTAAAGAGAAACAGGACTGGACTGCTGGTGAGTGGTCCAAAGTCATGTTCTCTGATGAAAGTAAATTTTGCATTTCCTTTGGAAATCAAGGTCCCAGAGTCTGGAGGAAAAGAAGAGAGGCACTTCATCCACGTTGCTTGAAGTCCAGTGTAAAGTTTCCACAGTCAGTGATGGTTTGGGGTGCCATGTCATCTGCTGGTGTTGGTCCATTGTGTTTTCTGAGGTCCAGGGTCAACGCAGCCACATACCAGGAAGTTTTAGAGCACTTCATGCTTCCTGCAGCTGACCAACTTTTTGGAGATGCAGATTTCATTTTCCAACAGGACTTGGCACCTGCACACAGTGCCAAAGCTACCAGTACCTGGTTGAAGGACCATGGTATCCCTGTTCTTAATTGGCCAGCAAACTCTCCTGACCTTAACCCCATAGAAAATCTATGGGGTATTGTGAAGAAGAAGATGCAATACACCAGACCCAACAATTCAGAAGAGCTAAAAGCCACTATTAGAGCAACCTGGGCTATCATAACACCTGAGCAGTGCCACAGACTGATCGACTCCATGCCACGCCGCATTGCTGCAGTAATACAGGCCAAAGGAGGCCCAACTAAATACTGAGTGCTGTACATGCTCATACTTTTCATGTTCATACTTTTCAGTTGGCCAACATTTCTATAAATCCTTTGTTTTTATTGGTCTTCAGTAATATTCTAATTTTCTGATATGATGAATTTGAGATTTTCATTTGTTGTCATTTGTAATCATCAAAATTAAACAAAATAAACATCTGAAATATATGAGTTTGTATGTAATGTATGAATATAATATACAAGTTTCACTTTTTAAATGGAATTACTGAAATCAATCTACTTTTTCATGATATTCTAATTTTATGACCAGCACCTGTATATCTGTGAAGATTCTCAGTCATCCAGGTTATGGTCAAACATTCAGTTTAGGCAACTGGAAGTGAAATTTTCTAGAAGACGTTTCGCCTCTCATCCAAGAGGCTTCTTGAGTTCTAAGTGGTGGTGGGGAGCACTGAGAGTAACATACTGAAGGGATAACAAAATAATTCTTGGAAAAAAACAAAAGGTGGCTTTGATCCCTCTTACTGGATTGGCCATGGAGGTCAGCTGGGGGCTGTTAATGGTCTTTAGGTGCTTCTGATTGGTCCTTAACTCCCTCGTCAGATTGGTGTCACTCATGCCTCATTGAAGTCAGAGTATTGTGAGGTCAGGTCACAGGTGAATCTTCTGGGTATTGTCCCTAAAAGTGCTTTGTAGGTGGTTGAAAAGTTATGTCTAAGACCACCTCCACTGTTGACAGAAGGTTTTTCCAGGTTTACAAAGATGGCTTCCTTAACCCCTCTCAAACAATTTTCTTCCTTGGCCAGAATATGGACATTTTTGTCCCGAAACAAGGGTCCTTCAGCCTCTAGTAATATTGCTGGAGTCTATGAATAACTCAGGAGGATTTTTAACAAGCACCGGATCCCTGTGCTCTTCAAACCCAGAAACCCCCAGAGAGAAGACTGGTTTACCCCAAAGATAAGACACCCAGAAACCAGGAAGACAACGTTGTTTATAATGTTCAGTATAGTGAAGAGTGAACAGACCTGTACATTGTAGAGACCAAGCATCCGCTACACAGGAGGGCTAAAGGGCTGGTTATTCTGCAGCAGTGTGGCGCAATGAGCCTGATGCAGACACTTTTGATTTATGCTCAATTTTAAGCGTGGTCTGTGCTATACGCTGTGGGTCTAGATACGGCCGAGGCGATAAGGAAGTGGGGGCGAGTTTGTCCGACAATGGAGGGACATGACGGCGAAAAAAAACGCCGATCCAGGTGGAAAAAGGGTCCCAGCGTTCTCGCACACCTTGCTCTTCTAGTTGGTCAAACTTCACGAGTTGTTTTCCGCAATCGCGGTCAAAAAAACAAAACAAGCCGGCCTCCTGTCTGCGGCACTGTCTGCAGTCACCTACAGTTTGGGAGGGGTGCAGCAGAGTGTCTGCGTAGGGGGTGGGGACGGCTTTTTGTTCACTGCGACACCTACACAGACGACCTAGTTTCGAAGTATAAATCAGCCTTAACCCCTCAGGGCAGGACTCAGCTATTCACCTAAAGGACCCTTGTTTGAGGACAACAACGTCCATATTCTGGCCACAGAAGAATGATTGTTTGAGAGAGGGGTTAAGGAAGCCATCTTTATTAACCTGTAAAAAGCAACACCTAACAGAGGAGCTGGTCATATACAATCTGTCACCTACTTACAAAGCAATTTTTAGGAACATTACCCAGAGGATTCACCTCTCACCTGTCTTCATCTGAGGCGTGTGACCGGAACAACTCTGACGATTGTTTGTTTACTTCAATGAGTTAACAACCCATCAGAACCCCCTAACCACCTATAACAACCCTCTATGACCTCCTTGGCCAATCCAGTGGGCGGGATCAAAGCCACCTTTTGTTCCCTCTAATTCTTTGTTACACCTACAGTATATTAATCTCAGTCCTCTTTACCACTAGTTAGAAATGAAGGAGGTCTGGATGAGTGGCAGACGTCTTCTACAACACTTCAGTTACCTAAACAAAACTTTTTAAGCTTCCATATGAGGATTCCATTAAACATGTTCTACAGAGTTAGACAGTAGCAACAACTTCTAACGTTTTGTTTCCACTGAGGCCAAGATAGAGCCCTGTAGAACTTTAAGCACTGCTTTGTCATCAACAGAGTCCTGTTTCTATTCTGCTCTAATCTGATCTGAATTTATTTGCTTGGTTTTGGAAAGTGTGATAAAATAGTGATTCATTTAAGTGCCAATACTCCATTAGAGGCCAGTTCCAACCCCTCCAATCTCTCCTCCTCTGTCCTCCCTCTCTTGTTCCTCCCTCTGTCTGCACGGGCTCCATATCCGATCGATTTCTGCACTTGGCTCCCCCCCCTCTCCGACGTTTCAAACCCCTTTTTTGTCACTATTCACACACGCTCATTTTCATTCCTTCCTTCACCACCTTGCTTCTCTTTGACCTCTTCTTGAACCTCTCACATCCCTGCTTCCAACTCTTGCTTCCTTCACGCCATTCGTTTCTCTCTCCGCTTTAACACCTTATTGCTCCCTTCGCTCTGACCTTTCATCCTAACTGCCTTACTCCTTCTCTTCCCTTGCCATTCCTTCTTTCCCTTCTTCCCTCCGTCCCCTTTCTTATCTTTCATTCCCATTTGCTCTCTTCTATTCAAATATTCCCTCCTTGCTCCTCAGCCATTCATTCTACCCTCCATTGTCCTTTTCGTTCTTTTCTCCACACTCTCATATTCCTCTTTGACCAAGCTCTTCTTCCTCTACATCCTCTTCTTTGTCTTGTGAGGCCCATAAGTATTTTTTTTTTATTTCTAATTTCTTGATGTCTCATATATAAACACCATTTTGGTTGTATTTTTGTTTTTTCTTATTGTCATCTTCATTGTTCTCCCAAAATGTCTCCTTTTTCTCCATCTCTACTCTTTTATTTTCTATGATTTTCTTTTTTTTTTTTCGTTTTGTTTGTGTGTTTTCTTTTCTTTCTTCTTCTCATTAACTTGCCCATGCATGCAGCAGCCTGATTGTAGGGACCAATCAGATCCAGACGAGAAAGATGAAACTAACGAGATCAGCCAAACTGTCAGCAACCAGACAGAAAATCAGGAAGCCAGCCAGACGGAACAGGAGGAGAAGGAGATGGATCATCCTACGGTAAGCTCAATCATGAACAACACCACTGAACCAAACTCCTACTGGAGGCCCTGTGCGTTCGCCTTAGCGCTTCTCTCGGCTGAAAGCCAACAGCATTCATTAACCAGCTGCAACCGGAGCCTTTTACTGCCAAGATATCTCCTAAGAAAAATAACTTCTGCTGCTCTTATACCACCTTTAACTAAACAAAGAGACAGCCAATGTATAAATAAAATAGACCCCTTTTACATCATGGGATACGTAGATATTTGGCACACAGATAGGCATTCTAAATTGTGCTTGATTTGGCAAAGATTTATATTTCCATTTTTTATTAGGCAGGAATGGATTGGTCATGTTGTATTTGTTTCTCTATTTCTTTGCTCAGAGTACGTTCCGCCTCATTTATATCTTTTTTGTTGCTTTTTTCACTTTGTTTGCAGCAGAAAGCATTTTTTTAACAGATGTCAAAGTTATTTTTGCTGTCTGCTAGCAGTGAGCTGGTGCTCTCTGGTAGGAGGATGGAGGAAATAGATCAAGTCCAGGGGAAGGTTAAAAAAGGACATTAATGGTACAGTGGTTTGTCGATAGGTTGCACTAAGTCAGCAGCTTATGAGCCGTGGGAGGGTGCATTAGTTTAGCTGTAGGTGTAGAAGACCTATGGCAGAGCATGGATTTAAAGTATTTTATGTTCCTTTACCAAAAAGGTCAGTTTTTGTATTATTTTCCTGCAAATCATCTCCTCCATCATTCCATCTTTAGTTGTTTCCACATGTTTACTCATTTGGTTCCTTTGGGTTTTAGTAGCTTTTTCTCATTTCCTTTTCTCTCCAGCCTGCACAGGTCTCTGACCTCGGGGAGCAGATGTCCCTAGAAAAGGAGTCAGCTGGAGAAGCCCAGGAGGAGCTGCACAAAGAGAGACAGAACCACAGAGAAGTCAGTCTCAGACTTTCACAGGTAGGTTTGAAAAAGGAATATAACCAATAAAATGCTGTCAGTTTACTTTAAAGTATTGACATACTCATTTTAAAACCTGATCTCGATTTCACTGGGTTTCGTTTGATGTTCTTTTGTTTTTTTTTTAATCAGTGAGTTTACATTTCCAAGTTTCACCTCAGAAACAGTTTAACAGTTTTCAAAGCAGAACCAAATTTGGCTCCTGTGCTGTTTTTGGTTCATCTCGGTAGATACAGTGTTTGGCAAAATTGTTGGACATTTTTACAACTACAATATTTAATGTATTTTACATGATTTTATGTTAAAGAATAAAGTGCAAAATTGAAGGAAATTATACGTTTTTTTTATTTAAAGTTATAATTTAGACCATGTCTCTTCCAGTTTCGCTTATCTAAGGACTCAACATTTAGCCTATTTTTCTTTGCTAATTCTAAACACTCAGTGTGATTAGACAGAGAGACAATAATACACATAAAAAGTAAGTTTGTTATAAGAAAAAATGTAGAATAGTTAAAAATATATTAATCATTTTTGAAGATTATGTTAATCAACCAATTTAAAACATCAAACTTAACATGAAAGGTAATGTAGTGGTGATTGTTTGTCAAACCAAACATCATATAAAGTTCCAATAAGCCACTATTTAGGCACTGGGGTCACGTTTTCTTGACGTAGGCAAAAGAAGTTGAAGAATAGGATTTATTTCCTATATTTTGCACATTACAGAGTTCAAACATTCCCTTGCACTGACACCTCTCTTGCACTGGTAAAAACCCATAGGCCCCGAACCCAAATGCCTGCTGGTCCTTACCAGGCTCCTACATTTATAGAAAATGGACCGTCCACATTTCTTCCTGTTAAAACAAATAAAAACAAAAAATTCAACAATGAACCTATGAATAAAGTCTGTAAATAATACAAAAAAATTTTAGTTTAGGAATTGACACAATTGAAATGGATAAAGAAATAAAAAATAAATAGCTCCAACAAGTAAAATAAAGCACTTTTCAGCCTTGAACCTCCTCTGACTGTTTATGCCCCCCCCCCTCTCTCAGCTCCAGGAGGAGCACCAGAAGGCTCTGCTCCGACGGGACTTCCAGCTTCAGAGCCTGGGCCTCCAGGCTCGGCTTCAGCAGAAGCTGTGGAGTCAGGAGAGGAATCTGCTGGTTCAGGAGTCCCAGCACCTGAAACAGGCCCTGCTGCTGCTCAGCCTGAAACTCCGCTGCTTCCTCAAACAGTGGAGGCTGGGCTGCCAGAAGGATGCAGAGGGGAAAGATGTTTTGGAGGTGAAAAGAAAAAAGATAAAAAACGTTTCAGTTAGTACATGTCACATTTCTCTGTTCTTAATTGTTCTCACTCTATGATTCAGGAATGATTGCTTTATTTTTTTTTTTTAAACAGAGAAAAATTGTAATAACATATCAGAATAATTTAAGAATTAAATGTTTGATTTATGTAAATTAATTTTGGAAGAACATGTAGTATGTAATTAATTATATTTGATTGGAGATTGAGATTAATAGTAAACAGCTATTGCTGCACATTGACTCTTTAGATGAACAGTCTGAAGGAGTTGTATCTGCTGCTGGAGGAGGAGAGCCTGCCAAGCCCCACGAATGCAGCAGATAAGAGAGCCTCTGCAGACGAGCAGCCGCTCAGCCCCACAATAAAGGCAAGCAGAGCTGCATGCACACAGACACAGCTGCTCGGATGAACAGAAATCATTTTTGGACATCCTATGGAAGCAGTTTGTGAAATCCTGTCCAGTAACTGCTGCACCTGCACTCTTACATAAACACTTACCAGAGATGTCTGTGTTGCAGTCGAGTGCAGTGAGCAACACTTTGGCAGACCTAAAGGTTGCTCTGCAGGACCTGAGTGCAGAGTTGAGACAAGAGAGACAAGGCTCCCAGGAACTCACTCAGCAGTTTGCAAAGGCCAAAGCGTCGTGGGAGGTGGAGAGGACCGAACTAAAGAGCCTCATCACGCAGGTAAAAAAAGCTGCTGCAGAAAACCAAACACTTCACTACAGTTAATAACATCCTGCAGCACAATGTTGTTGCAACAAAAAAAGATGGAGAGTAACATTTTTTAACATATTTAAATTGCTCATGTTCAAGAGGGCTTCACAAACCACATTTTAAGTTTGCCGCATAACTAATTAACCTTTGAAACATGTATGAGTATGTACAACCCCTACCAAACAGTCACAGACTTATTGATTTTTTTTATTTCAGGTGAAACTGAAATATAGACTAAGTAAAGAAACAAAAGAGAAACAACTTTCCTATTGAAAGTACTTTAACCAGTTTTACCAAATCCCCAAAATAAACTATAGAATTAAATATTATGAGATTTCCCATTGAGCTCTGGGATCCACTTCTAGGGTTTCCATCTGTCAGGTGGATCATTTGTCTATAAAACCTTTAATACTTTCAGTTTTCCCAGCCTCTGTAAAGGCTTTTGTTTCCTCCCCCTCTTTATTGTCTTTGTCTCTCCTTCAGTCTCATAACAGCAGCTGAAGCTGTAATAGTTTTAATTAACAGCTTCTAGGATAGAAAACACCCTGTGTGTAATAGAGCAGGAGAAGAATGGGAGATAAATTATAGCCCACAAGCCTGATCATTTTGGCCAATTAAGTCCGACCTAATTATATGAACCCATCACTTAGTTATATTTAAGGGATGTTTATTTTATATGGAATGACCCTTTGTGCAATTCTGCTTTTATTCATACGGTATTTTAAGCCAAAATGACACATGCAAGCATTAAAACCTGCATCATGCGTATCTAGTGTTACAAATGGCTTCACTTACATGTAAAATGCTTTCATTTACATCTGCTGGTTATTATAAAGCTGCTCGTATAGAAAGCCTATCATCACTTTGTAAATTCAAGATACTTCACTGGGAAAAAATAAGCTATCGATATCCATGAAGGCCCTACGGTTTGCCCACAGTAAAGGATTTTTCTCTGCATTATCCTGGTCCCTTAGCACACAAACCCAATAATGCTCTCAGAGGTGCACACTAACGCCGACCGCCATCATCAATCACAGCCGCCATCCAAACCATTCAGTCCGCATACGTTGGTACGACATCATTTGTCTTCTGATCTGATATGAAGAGACACCTCTAGTATTAATGATTTAATACAGATCATGATGTGTAAAGGTGTTAACTGCTTAAATACGTTTACATTTGAACAAAAGAAAGAAGTTCAGAAATCCTAGATAGATTTTAAAGCGTGACTTTTTAGAAAATCAAAAGTAATCTGTAAAGATGAGAGAGATTACAAATAGTTTAGCAGAGAGGTGCAGACTTGAACAGCCACTTTAACGGGCCTGTGTGTGTGGGTGTTACTCTGACCTACATGCCACATTTGGAAGTAATCTCGTCTGTGCCAACAATACAAACTGTAAAGTATGCCATCAATTTGCCACACTAAAGTATGTGAGTATGGGGGGGGTGTAGCAGCACAACAATAAACCGGCCGCATCAGTGCCAAGGCTCCCTGGCAACCCACAGCGGGTCCTCCAGCTGTTGCTTCACTGAACAAGTCAACTCAATTCCAAACACTGTCCTTCCTGTCAAAGTATCTGACAGGAAATTATCTTCACTGTCAGTGATGGGCAGTAGCGCCGCTACATGTAGCGAAGCTATTAGTTTAACTACATTTTCCAGTAGCTTGACCGTAGCGTCGCTGCTTTATTTATCAAGTAACTTTCCTGTAGCGACGTTATTGTTTTGATCCAGTAGCGACGTAGCGTCCACAAACGCTACAAAATCCAGGGCATAACTAAGAAATGAAACCAGGTTTTCTATTTCTAAACAACAATCAGCCACAAAACTACTGTAAAAAGCAGTTTCAGCTGACGCTCTTATAAGTGGCGTAGTAGCACAGGCACACTCCGTAGGGTTAAACAAGCGCACCCTTTCCGAGTCTGTCGTTCTATTGGCTGGAAAGGTTGCTAGGCAACGATCCAACTGCAGTCTGAGAGAGAGCAAAACAAATCCGCAAGCAGAGCCTACGGGTTTGCGAGCGTAACAGAGCGCGGTTTGTGCGCGAAGAGAAGGAGGCAAGCGAGAGGAGAAAATATCTGTGGAAGAAGCATTAAATCTAAGAGAAGAAACAAAGATTTGAGAAAGAAGAGAAAATATTTGAGAGAGAGCGCATGTTTGGAGTGTGAGCATTATAAGTTTTGAGAGCAAGAAGATGAAATTCTTTTCTCTAATTGAAGTTATATGCTCTTGCATTATGGCAGGATAATTCTCCCATATGTGCCACTAAGATACTCTAATTAGAGAGCTGTAGTGAAACTTCGATATTGTATTTTCATGGCCTAGTTTACCTGACAGGATAATAACATAAATCTGTTTTTAGGCTGTGCACAGATAAGATTTTTTATGGAGGAACAGCTCTACCGTATATAAAATAAATACATAAATAAATAAATGCTCAATAAATAAATAAATAAGCATTCAATTAATTGCCTCCAAAAATACAATGAATAAATATGTAGGTAGAAATAAAATTATACAGTGTATAATTAAATGTATATATATCTCTTAATTAGCTTCTTTATTTTTTCACCTTTTTGTAAACAGTTTCATTTGTTACTTGAATCGACTGTTTAATTGAGGTCTGAAGAAGTTTTCTCTGAGGGAGACCCTAAAGAAATAAGATGCCTTTTGTAGGGTTTTGTTTTCCCTAGAGATGTCCATTGAATGCAAACTCATAGCCATGTCTCCATGTGTAGAACACTACACAGTGCCGTTAATTTGGTTCTAATAACAGCAGATTGTTTACTAGTTTGTCTACTAGTAATAACTTTAGTTTTTATTTTAATATGCTGATCATAAAGCAATGTTAACACTGTGATATGTCATTGGCTGATCTTTAATAAATATTTTAACCAGTGCATCAGACTCATTTTGAAATGATATTAGGTTGGTACAACGTTAAGTAGCTTCTGATGTAGTTAAGCTACTTTTAACACATTAGTGTAACTTAGCTTGCTATAATTCTTTAGGTGGTAGCTTTGGTGTAGTGAAGCTTCATTTATTGTTGAGTAACTGATAGCTTAGCTCACTACACTGGACAAGTAGCTTGCCCAACACTGTTCACTGTCCATCTTGACAAACACATTTAGTCAGAGAAAGTACAAATGATCTCAGCAGCCCTGAATGCAAGCAGGACAAACGCATCTTTATTTTACTTTCATCCGCATGTGATGATGCTTTGGATTGTTTATTACTGGTTAATCAGTCATCCTTCCGCATTGTTACAGACACCTGCAACCTCTGTGACGACAAGCTGAGCAGCTGGGAGCTCTTACTGCTCATTCATCACATCTGTTGCTTTAACTTCAGTCATGAAGGAGGGGGGGGGACATCTGTTATATTAATTGGAAAATCATATGCAGGTTCAACATGGGCTGTTTGTTTGATGTGTGATATAAAACATGCAGCGTTGAGTTTTGACCGATACTGACCGCACTTTTAATAGCTTTTGGTGATGTTGAATGTTAGAAAAGGCTTGATCATTACCTTAAAGGGATAGTTTGGTATTTTTGACATGAATCTGTATGGCATCCCCATCACCAGTGGCATGCAATCACACTGACTTACCCCTGGCAGCGTCCTGTGAGCAGAGTTATCGTCCAGTTTTGGTCAAGCCGAAAGTAGTCCGGCAGGTTTTTAGAGCCAGCTAGGAGCTAGGCGGAGGGAGACATGCATCTGGCTGTTGTTGAGCTCGCTGTCTGAATGACGGCGCGCACTGATATGAACAGAGAGAAAATAGGACCAATTGATAACGACGTGTGACTTTTTCCACTACAACGTTTTTGGGATGCAAAAATATCGCTCTTTTTAACACATAATGTTTTGGGAAGAGAAACGTTTTATTTCGCTGGTCCTAAAAACCTGCCGGACTACTTTCGGCTTGACCAAAACTGGACGATAACTCTGCTCACAGGACGCTGCCAGGGGTAAGTCAGTGTGATTGCATGCCACTGGTGATGGGGATGTCATACAGATTCATGTCAAAAATACCGAACTATCCCTTTAACAGGGAATCATAGTCAACAACAAAACGTATGCCAATAACTGAGACATTTGTTATTATTATATTATATTATAGGTTACATGAGCTTACATATTTATAACTGAATAAAAATGGGGCTGCTCAGTTGGCAGTGGGTAGCACTTCTTCCTTCCAGCAAGAAGGTTCCAGGTTCGACTCTTTGTGCATGGAGTTTGCATGCACAGGTTCCTCCCACAGTCCAAAAACATGACTGTTAGATTAATTGGCTTCTCTAAAATCTGTGCGTGTATAAATTCTGAGTTTGTGCGTGAATGTTTGTCTCTGTGTTGCTCTGTGATGGACTGACGACCTGTCCAGGATGTACCCCGCCTGTAGACAGGGTTCCCGCGGGTCCTTAAAAAGTCTTAAAAGGCACTGAATTCTTCAAAATAAAACTAAGGCCTTAATTGGTATTAAAATTTCTTAAATCAGTCTTTCTAAATAAAACGTTAAAATTGTCATTTTGGGGTTTTTTTTTAATAAAAAAAATAAATAATGGCTCGCCATTATTAGTTCCGTCCCGATAGCGGAACCAATAAGAGCGTTGTTGCGGCCGGGACATTTGGGAGATGCACCATTAAATTTTTGAGTGGGAAATATGAGCAAGTTTACATGTAACGAAAATTGGCTATTCAGCCAAGAGTTTTCTCCATGGCTAAAACCAAGGAACGTACATGAGGCACAGTGTATTATGTGCAAGAAGGCACTCAAGCAAAATAGCTGCAAAAAAAACTTAGCACTGGTTATGTTGTGGCTTTAAAACTGATTTGTTTTGTTACCTGCTAAAACAAGGTTTGTGAATTAAGTTAAATAATTGTTAAAATATATCTGTCATTTGTGTATTTTTAGCTTTCTTCCTGTATGGGAAGCTTTTCAAAATTTGAAACATTAGTGCAGTGGTTTATGTTATAATAAACCTTTGGGTTAAGTTGTCGCAAGCAGGTTTTTCTTGTGTTTCTTGTGAATTTGGTCTTAAAGTTTTATTTCAAGTGGCATTAAAAAGTCTTGAATTTAACTTGCCTTATGCTGTAGGAACCCTGGTAGACGGCTGGAGATAGGCACCAGCACCCTACGCAACCCCAGCTGGGATAAAGCGTGATGTAAAATGGATGGATCTGTGAATAAAAATTATGAATTTGAAGAAACTTATGCAGGATAAGGTTTGCGCTTAGCTGCTGTTGTTAGCTCTGTAGGGGGATATAAGCGCTGTGGGATAGAAATGCTGAAGCAGACTGAATTGGGGTGCTGCAGAAATGTTTTCCCAGCCTGCTTCTTCCGGAGATTTTAAATTAGAGATTAACCAACACAGGTTGTTTAAGCCCCGTGTAGATTCCGTTTGTTTTGACACCAATTTAACCGATACTCGATATGTGCAGCTTATACTGCAACTACTGCAACCATGGTTACCTACAAGGAAACACACAACATATTCTCATTATGAGTGTGTATGAAATCGTACGAAAAGTTATGCACACTATTTCGTACGTTTTTGGACGTTTTTCCTCAAAAAACCACATCAGTGCGCATGCGCTGGCAGACAGAAAAAAAAAAACAGATCCGCGGACGGACGAAAAATGGGAAAAACAGTGCAATCATCACTTATTCATGTCTCGAACTACGTTGCTTGCTGTTTTATATCTTAGGGTTAGGGTCAGGGTTAGGGCTAATTGTAATTTATATTCTATATTTGTGAATGGTGCATCAGATGCGCATACGACGAAAAAAACGTCCAAAACGTACCAAATTACGGTGCATAACTTTTCGTACTATTTCACACGCACTCATAATGACAATAGGTTTAAACACATGCAGTCATCATTAAATTTCACAAAAAATGCCTTAACAGGGACGTTTATAGCAGATAAGTAGATTGAAGCTCAGTCAGCTACATATTGGATTATCAAGAACTTGAAAGAGAGAGGTTGAATATCAGGGCACCCCAAGAAAGTCCGGAAAGCCCCAGAAACAAAGAACCTAAACATTCAGACTAACTCCAAGCATTGATTATAGAACATATAGACATATAGAACAGACTGCCATCACTCAAGGATTTGGTCCAAAAGTGGATTTACAGCATGCCAGCACTGATGGCAGAGGTCTTGAAAAAGAAGCATCAACACTGTAAATATTGACCTTTAGCGTGAATTCAGAGTAAATCTCAATAAAAGCATTGGATACTCCATAAATGCTTTTTATTATTTTTTTAGTAAACCATAGAAACATCTGATAGAAACACCCTGGGGCAGCTTCTAAGTGAGAATGTCTAAAGCAGAATACCGCCAATATTATTCTAATCTGTTTTACCTTCATAAATGCAGATCTTTAAATTCATGAGATCGTGAGATGAATCTAAACATCTCTGATCCAGCAGTAAATACGCTCCATCTAGTGAAATAGCCTCCCTCTCACCACTGCTGCAGTAAACCACTTTGAGTTGTGAGGCTCGTTAGGGAGGGTTCGTCATTAATGAGAAATACAGTGTGGCCATAAGAGGCAGGAGTTTGGTTCAGGCCGTGTTTCGCTGTGATTGGCTGCCTGACAGTTTCATTAGTACCACATATAGACGCCAGACACAGGCACACGGAGAGGATTGATGGGTCTGGGAGGTCTGGCTGTATGCATGTGGGCGTTTGCGTTTTTTCGCGTTTGTCATGCCGACGTGCCGGTACTGTCAGCCGTGTGCATGGAGGGAGACAGACACTGGGGAGAAAATGTAAAACGGCTCATCAATATTTGAAGGGATTCCACCTACAGGATCTAGAATGGAGGGTGAAAAAAGGGATGATGGGGCTAAAAATGGAGGGTGAGAAACCGGCTGGGACAATTCAGAGTGGAACAGGGTTAAAAAGGCACATTATTGAGGAAGAAACGGAGGAGACATGTTAATATTCTGAGACTTCTTCCTTATGAATGAATCCCAGACAGTCATGAACGCGCTCTAATTTTTAGCAAGGCGTGTTTTACACAATATTTACCCAAATCAGGCACAAACGTTGGTATAGATAGTTACTGATTGCTAAAACTGCTCTTAGGATAATAAAAATGTGTTTTTATTATCCTAAAGAGGCTTTTTATTAGTTTGTTTTGTTCCTGCAAAGACGTTGACCTTTTATTGAGGATGATTATGTTTGATAACAAAACACAACTCTTCCTGGAGAACATTGTGAGTCATGATTCATTTTTCATTTTATTGCAATGTGTACAAATACTTTTGCATATAAAGATATAAACAAAAAAATAACTATTATAAGAGGAAATATATAGTAAGAATATAAAGCATTTGAGCATCAAGCTCAGTTCAAATGTGGAATCTCTGAAAATATTTCTGATATTTTTCTTCTAACTGGTATAGTCTTCCATGTGACCCTATTTTTCTTGTGGATTTCTTCCAGGTTTTCTTTATTTTGAATTCAGATTCTAAAATCATCCAATGTGCTGCACGAGAGATTTTAGGCAACACATCCAACATAAATCACTTTCAGCACTAAATGAATCAAACACTGGTGGAACTTAAGAAGCCATGTAAACCATTATTGATACAGCTATGAGCTTTTATGGCAATCCTTTCAACAATATAAAAATAAAAAGTAGATTTGAAGAGAAATTTTGCTCTGTTGAACTTCTGTAGCTTTGCTGCTAAGATGGATAGGAAGGAATGAAGACCTACAGTATGTGGCTACCACAGTCCAACTCCTCCTTCCTTAATATTGTCACTGCTTTTTAAACTTAACATTAAATCCACACATTAAATTTGATTCATTTAAAATATAATTCTAATTTTACAAGCTTTATTATACTGTAGTACATCATTACCCCGCCATATTAATGAGACACTCTCATTAACTACCTGTATATACTGGGTTTGATACTGTGTTTTGCATTTTTTTTTTTTTTTTATAGATTTTTTACAGGTATACAACAAAAACAAGACAATGATTAATGTCCTTTAGTGAATCCTTTAGCATTTGTCACAAAAATTTTTTTTAAAAAGCATTAGACAAACAATAAATAATATTATATAAAAACAATTTGTTAATTTACACTTTGGACATACTGAAAGTAAAAAAAAAAAAAAAAACACTTTATGGCGTTTCAACCAGTCAATTAGGAGTGTCCACACCTTTATTCATAACAAATGGAGTAAAGTAGAACAAAAAAAAGAGGGGGAGATAGGGGTTCTTTATGGCTTCAGTTGTTCTAAAATGGGTTTCCAAATTTTGTAATATTTTTGAGGACAGTTTATTACATCATATCTAATTTTTTCTATGTGCAAGATTCCTGGTGTTTTGCATTTTATCAACTTTTTGTAATGCATTTGATGTTTAGTTAGGCTTAGAATAAAACGTCAAATAAAAGTTCATTTTATCCAGATTGAACATCATTATCTTATATTTTGGTTTAAGACACAGAGCTGGTAGAGTTATGCTAAAATCTTCCAGTTATTAGGCGTTAGCCAACGTTTTACCCTGTTTTTGAATCTCTAATCAAAAGTACATTCCTTATTAAATAACTGTGGCTGAATTGACTTGTTTTTACTTTCCAGTTTGAGACAAAAATGGGCAAAACAACAGCAGCCATGACAGCAGCTGAAACCCTGGACCCTCTGGACCTGAAGGCGGCTCTTAAAAAGGAACGTGAGGAACACCAGCACCTCCTCGCCGAGTCGTACGCAGCCGTGATGGACTTAACCAAACAGGTAAAGTGACGTCCAAGCTTGAGTTTAGATAAAAACCCACAACTTTATCAACGCTGCAAACTATAAAGACGTAATGAACGCAGTTGCTAGGTCTGCAGACACGTTTAATCTGTGGCAGCATCATGCTGTATTTTATATTGGAATCAATCTAAGTTGCTGCATCTGTTTCTGGTGTTTTTTAATCTGATTTCTTCTGCTTTTGTCCGTCCTTCAACTGGTTCAGCTTCAGATCGGAGAAAGGAACTGGAGCAGAGAGAAGCTGCAGCTGCTGGAGAGGTTCAGCCAGGAGAGAGCTCAGTGGGAACAGAGACTGAGAGAGGCTAGCATGCAGCAGGAGAAGGTAAAACGGCGGGGCATTTCTATGTCCATGTCAAAGACTATTCTAGAAAATCTGGGGCAGATAGAGTCAGACACTCAGAGATATTGTAGATACAACAATTGTGTTGTTATTTTCCCTTATGTCAGGGTTTTAGAGCAAAGTAAAACCCAAGTCCATAAGATTTTACAGATGTAGAATTCACATTTCCTTCTGTTTCTGTGGACAGAGGCAGTAACTGCCCACGGCTGCTTGGGCTTTAAAAGCTAGAGAAACACAGTCACTCATATCTGTTGATTAAAGCCCTGTTGGTAGAACGCTGAGCTGCTGGAACATGTCGGGGGGGCTGACAACATGCTGCCACCTTATGTAGGTTGCAAGGTTAAAGGGATTTTCTACATACCTTAAACCCCAGTGGTGCATTTAAGGCCTTTCTGTCATCTTTGAGGATCTCAGTCCGCAGAGAACTCCCCCCTCCTCCCCTCCCCTTGTTTCCTGTCGTCTAATTCGCTTTTTCCACTTCCCCATCTGCCTCGTCTTCCTTCCTCCTCTGGGCTGTGTGATATCAAATGATGGCATTTAACTCATTTAAAAAGTACAGCTTTTAGCTTTTGTCTGAGTCCCGCATGAAAGCAGCATAATGGAAATCAACTCTATCTCATGTGGAATATGAAGCTTTTTTAAGGTTACTTGGAGCGCCCCCTGCAGGCAGCTTAGTGTAACTCTGGCTTAATCACTTAAACAGCGGTAGAGATTTCAATCACAACAGATGAAACACATTTCATTACTACATTTGCGCATTTAAAAACAGACATACTTTACCCACTTTGGATTCTTAGTTTACTTTTTCCTTCAGACAGTTCGGACGGAGTTGCTGAGGGTTGCAGGTGAGAGTGAAACTGTCAGCTCAGCACCTGCAGATGTCCCTTTCTTCTCTTCCTCTCCTCTTCATCTGTTATATGAGTGTTGAGAGAAAATTGCTTCACAGCTTAAGATCTCCCCTCTGCTGTAAAATCCACCGACTCAGCATCACAATCTATGTGTGTTTCACCTCAGTCTCCCACAGACTCTCCAGAGGAGGTGGCTAGAAGACCTAAACACAACGTTTTAGGATCTATGGTGTGCAGACATGTCACGAATGTCATTTTAATGTTATTTGTCTTTTTTTTCCCCTCACAGATGAAGCCTCCAGGTGAAGAAGTCACAGTGGACACAGCTGTTGTTAATGGATCAGCATCACCGAGGTGACACTGCAAAAATAATTGTTGCTTTAACTCAAACTTATGGAGGGTTTCTATTTGATCATCTGGTGCATTTATTATTCAATTATTCCATATGCTCCGGTGCCTGTAAATACGATCCAGTGCAAAGAATAAAAGGGCTGCATGACTCTGCAGCTCAGGTGAGAGAATCTGTGAAAAGGAAAACTGTGTAGTCCTCTTGTAAAAGGGACTAAAAGAATCCCATAATTGACCTGTAGAGGATATAAAATATGATGATTATGTGAAAAGGGCTGTTTGTGGTAGAGAAAACATCAGTGCAGATCATACCATCAAATATTGAGATGGGAGCATCATGCCGGGGATGATTTTATTCTACAGGGACAGACAAACTGGTGATTAGGTCTGAAGTTAACATTTTAGCAGGTTAAAGCCATGATCCAAAGATATTTATGTGCTAGAATGGATCAATCAAAGGCCACAGCTGATTCCAGTTCAGAGATAAAGGAAAAAATTTCAAAACTGATGTTTATAGATGTTCCCTACCTAATGAGGAATGGACTGAATATCTCAGCATGTTGCTGATAAATGCATCGATCTACAGACTGAGTTTTAATATCACACAATTTGGTTCTATAAAGTTCTAAAAACAAAGGAGCCCTGGTTAGTCCTGCATAGCACACTTTTCAGATGTTCCCTCTTTTTTTAAGTAGAAACAAAAAAATATATATATATTTTTTTCATTTTAAAAATGTGGATCATTCTGTGCTGGTTTGTACTGTTTATTCCAATTAAAATGCCCTGAAGTATGTGGTATTGTCACAAAATGCTGAGAGAAATACTGTTGCACTATATTCTACAGGGTCAAATCAACAGTGGAGGATTCAGAGGTTAATAAATCCACCTGTGAGAAGGACAAAGAGCTGTTTGGTTCATTGCCTCTTTTTACTCGAGCCGAGTTAGGTGACATAAGCTTGAAGAACTGGACCAGCTTAACCAATGAGGTTGGTAACAGAGGTTTTTATGTATTAACTGGTTTCAGAAGGTTCACTTTGTCTTTTTTTTGTCTCTCTGCTTTTAACCCATAAAAAAACATTTATTTATTAAACTGATGCTTCTGTCTCCCGTTTCCAGACCCCAGAGGTTTCTGATACTTGTAAAACCTGGGACGGTCCCAGCGGCTCCTCCAGCAGCTTCACAGCCTCCGACATGGATCTGGATTTTGTGCGGAGGAGCTGCACTGCTCCGGACCGGACCGGCATCCGTATCTACTACAGCCCTCCTGCTGTGCGGCGTATTGAGCACCGGAGGAGACACCAGGAGTCTTTAGATGCGGATCACTCAGGCATTGGGAGCTCCTCTCTGAAACACACTGACATGGATGACGGCGTAGCTTCACTCAGTGCTCTTGATGCTCAGCAGCAGCAGCCTGCCGTGTGTTTTACATCTTCTTACGAGCAGTGGCTCAGTTCGCTGTCCAAACAGCACCGGGAGCTGCTGGAGAGCAGGAGCAGCAGCATTTCCACCTCCATGCCGAGTGTGTTCAGCAGCAGTGTCAGCAGTGGGGCGGTTAACAGAGCGGTCGATGGGAGGACTTCCTCTTCTCCCTTCCAGGACCTGGAGATCGGAGACATTGCCGCCAACTTAAGCGACGACATGAAGGAAATGACTAACTGTGTCCGCCAAGCTATTCGCTCTTCTTCTCTGGAGAGGAAATCCAGCAAGGAGCCTGTTAGTCAGGTATCGCCTTGGAATGTTTTTAACATATTTTAGTCCTGTTTTCATTAAATGTTAAATGATTTTGCAAGCTCAGCCATGCTGGAGAGAGATGAATTATCCCTTCTTTTATCCAGCCTGTTGGAGTATGCAGCAAGTCTACCCAGACTGTCGCTCAGAGCATCAGCATCGGGCTGCAGACAGAGAGCCTGGCCAGCAGCAGGGGGGCCGGGCTGCACACCAAAGCCTGGTCCCCTCGTCCGTCATCAACAACAACCTCCTCTCTGGCGTCGGTCCGAACTCGGCAGATCTCAACATCACTGGATAAGGTGCACAGCCGTATCGAGAGGCCTTGCTGCTCCCCTAAATATGGATCACCTAAACTCCAACGAAGAGGATCTTCTGGTAGAACTTCTAATCAGTTCTTATTGCTTAATTTAAACCCAGTTTGTTGTTTAAAAGAAGAAATAACAGCTTCTGTTTTTCCAGGTTCCACTTCCAGACTGGATGGGGCTTCCTCCAGCAGGGACCGCAGCATGTGGAGCCTACATCAGAGGCCCATCGGTGGGGGCGGCGGCTCTGCTTGGGCTCGCTCCACCACCACGAGGGACAGCCCCGTCCTTAACGGCCTTACCGACGGCCTCTCCAGCCTTTTTAGCGTGGTGGAGCAATCTGGAAGCACAGAGTCGCTCTGGAGGAGTGAAATAGGTGAGATGCAGCTGGTGGAAAAACCATTGTTCTCTTTTTATGATTTAAGTCTAACTTTATCATTTTTTTAAATTAAATCTGGTGAATGATAATAAACAGAAAAAGTTACTGTGGCAAAAAGTCCCAAATTCTACCTGCAAACTGCAGCAAAGTCACTAGCTCCCATCAGTAACGATCCAAACCTGTGATCACTGCACTGCTTTAGGACCAAGCCAGACCACCAGTCCCGCTCGGCAGCCTCCCGCCGCAGGAAAACCCTCCGGCGCTGTGGTTTGTGGATCTGACTCCAGCTCTCAGCGCTATGGAGGGCTGGTGCAGGAGTTCTTCAGGAACGTCTGCAGCAGGCCCAGCCCAGGCGGGGTCCACCTCCCTGCGGAGAGACTCCAAAGGGACTCGCTCGCTGTCCTGGGAGGAGTGGGCATCATGGGGAGTTTGAGCAGCTTGGATGAACCCACGGTCGGAGGGGCTGCTGCGTTGGCTGGATTGAGTGGAGGCAGCGACAGCGTGACCAGGATTGTTAACAAGAGGTTTATGAGGCAGACGACCGGTGAGGAGATGATCAGCATCCTGGGAGGAGGAAAGGAAGCAGCCAGCAACAGCATAGCTGCAGCACCAGGAGTAGAGGTGACGAATTTCTATTAAGATCAGAGGAATTACTTTTGGTTATAGTTAAAAGGTAGTTTAAGCTGTTTGGGTGAGGTTTTCAAACCACAAACAACTAAATCTGGCGTGCATGCGTCTTGAATCACAAAAACTACTGAAATTAAAATGCGACAAAACGTAGTAAAGTTGTAAAGATATGAATATTAATAATATAAGGACAAGAAATGACATGGTTTTATTTCCCAGGATGCACCCTGTGATTGTGCTGCTCCGTCCTCCTGCGTCGTCCGATCATCCAGAGCAGCCTCCCGCCACTGCAAGCACCGGCTGCAGGAGTCTCCGGCCGGAGCAGAGGAGAAGGGAGACGCCTGCAACGAGTGATGAAAACACGCAGCACATATGGAGGAAATTCGCTTCTTCACCAACACTACTGCCATGGAAACGCTTTCCCTCACCTTCCAGAGCACCGAACGCACACAAAACCCCTAGAACCTGCCACACAGGGCCCACTGCCAAACCCTAACACAGCGACAGCACAGACTGCCTCATTGAGCTACTGCCATCTTAACAAAACCATGAGCAGAACCCAGGCAACAGCGCTCCATTTTCTAGACGAGCAACCGATGCCAAGGACACACCCAGCACCCCAAACCTACCAGCAGGACTGAAACCACATATATCCTCTCTCTCTTCTAACAACAATCAGCAGCTTACAGTAAATAATGATGTCAATCTGCAAAACACAACCTCCGTATCTCAGATTAAAGGGTACTTCGATCAGTCTGCTACATTTCACATCATACATTCACCCTGACATGATTTAATACTCCTGCTCTGATGTTTAGGTGTAACTTTGGGGAATATGAAGCAAAGACTGACAGACTAGAGCTGAAAAATTTGATATTTTTCATTGAATTATCCAGTCAAGATCATTTCACAGCGAATGGATTTGTTCCTCAAATTGGTTTGTTTTACACAATTAACCTCACAAATCTAAAAGAAATGCCAGATATTAACGAGACACTGCAGAGTTCTGTGCAATGTGTCTTCATAGGGTGTAATATGCTAAAATATTTTGATTTAATCAGTCAAATGAAGGATGTTGGAGCCTAATGACAACTTCTTTGTGGATGACACTGGAGAGTAAATCTATCGGAAGGCTTGTTTGTCTGGAGCAGTAAGCCCTCATTCTAACTAACCAGGGGAGACAAATCAGGCAAGACGGATGAAATTAAAGCCATGACTTTGACCTTCGATAGCAAGCACTGGGAACCGTTCCTCTCTATGTTAAGTTAGACTGGGATCCCTTTTGTTAAGCTAATGGGACGTTTCTTTTTGTAATATTAATTTATAATGTTGGGATTTGTTTTTTCTGGGCCTAGCCGAGACAGTTTTGTTGGAAGCACAACTAAGACATGAGATGCATTCCATTTGTTACCAATAAAAGTAAAACATCCTTTAGGATCAGAAGCACCCAGCTGGAAAAAACACTGCTTTGCAAAAGTATTCATAACCGATGAACCACTTGAATACGCTTCAATCTAAATCTATCCAGTGTAGCTCTGTCTGCATGTTCTCCCTTTGTAAGGTGAGCTTCTGTCTCAAGTGCAGTGCATTATCTAACAGGTTTTCTTCCAGGATTTACCTTAATTTAAAAAAAAAAGACTCCTCAGCATACTGCTGCCACCACCATGTTTGGAAGGGAATTATGTTTATTTATTCACTAATATTCTCTAACAAACCCCTGAGACAACACAGTCCAGCTGTAAGTTTGGACTTTATATAATTAGATTTCAATCAGAAGTTTTCTGACAGCATTTGACAGCTGGGTTTGATTACTTTTAGAGTAAAAGTGGATAAATATGTACAGCACACATGCCATACTTTTTACAGTTTATACATTTATGATGTTTCGTCCACATCTGAATTACAGACTTTTTAATTTATACGCACTGAAGTTATGAATGAAGAAGTTCATTTATTATGAATGCTGTTCTAGAAGCTGGGCAGTGTGGTTTTCTTACCTAGGTTATGCCCAATTAGGGTATATGTTCTGTTTTCAACTTTTTATTTTGTACGTGCATTCAAAATAAAACTGAAGTCACTCAACATAAGTAGCAACTGGCCTTCTTATGACTAAAGTCTGTTAAAACATCTTCAATTGGACTTAAAAAATAAGAAAACACAGCTGCCTTAAGCACCTTTAGACATATAAGAAATATAGCTTAGACATTTATTTTTCAAAATAAAAGTCATGACCTTATTTTATTCAAATGTATTCAAACTGGAACTTTTAGAGGACTAAAAATAGATTTTACATACATCCCATAATTGTCTATATTGAAGGCTAAACGTTCTATAAACTGGACTATGGAGGCAGCTGTACATAAAGGGCAACATAAATCAAGAACAATACAACTATAACTGCCGACCGGATAGGACCTGAAATGTAATTGAGGAGAAATAGGAGAACAAAAAATTAATTGTGGATTTTTTTACTCATCCTTTCTCTCCATTACTGTGGTGTTTCCCTGTCTTTTTTCTCCAATCAGCTGATCAAAGTGCCTGTCGGATTGTCTGGCTAATAAACTAAAACTGGACTTTTAGAAAAACCCAAACCAGGCAGTCTTCTTCTATTAAGCAAGATGGTTTTCTTCAAAATGTACTGTATTACAGTAGTGACAAAAAAGTTATCAAATGTTGGTAGACGTGGCTGCATCATATGTCATTCCTTTTTTTTCTCCACATGACCAATTATCCCTATTTATATTTCTACAAACCCAATTGTTTCCCTTTGTAATCACAGTTTGCCGATCTATCATTATGTCTCTGTTTATTCATCATGGTGCTACTTGATGTACAGTCGTTTGTGGGCTTGTTGTCCTTCAACGAAGAATCTACCCACCATGTGCTCACAGTTCAATGACTCAGCAGGTTTAAAAGTAGGGCATTACAGAAACAGTACATGTACTTAAATAACATGCTGAAGAAAACCCACAGTCTGTGTGCTGCTGTCTGTTTTAGGCCTCATTTTGGGTAGAAAAGAGACAGCGTTATACCAGCTGCTCCTTCACGAGCTACTGACCTGAATATAACACCATTAGACTGTCTGACTTTTAGCCACAATTATGGGGCTTTATTTGACATATTTAAGCGGTTTACTGGTTAGGTCATTTTTCAGGGTTTTTCCCAAAGAAAGTTCATTCAATGTTCCTTTTCATATTTCAATTGCAAACCTTTACAAAATGGTTTGTATTACACAAGACTTATAATGTTAAGCTAAATTATAAATCATATGATCTATTTATATTCGAAGAAAGTAAATAATATATGAATCTTAGGTGTTTCTAAGTTCAATTAAGGATCTCAAAATAGATGGTTTAGCTTTCACCTTTACATCTTCACATGTTCATTTAGCAAAGTCAGTATTATCACCAATCCTACTTTCAATTTACCAGTTCATTTTAAAAGTACATTCATTTAAATCTATTTGAAAATATTACATTAAAAAATCTGCGCGCTGTTTCTTCTTTACAGATTTTGATTAAAGTTTAACATTTGTCTGGCACCAAAAATAAACTCAAAGGGCTTTCTGTAATTAACGATTTACTTTTAATGCAAATTTACCCTAATTTGTTCATTTTAGCCACATTTCCTTCTGTTAAAGGGTTTCTAAAAATGATCATTTTTTTATTTGGCTAACTGTTAGCATAATCCATTAGCTAGTAGCTTATAGCAAAACATTTAGCGCTGTGTTAAGTTTTGTTTTCTCAGATCTTAATTAAAACATAGGTCAAAAATAATATAGAAATTATTAAATATAAAAACATTATAAACCCTCATCTTTAGTAAATCGGCATTTTGTGGCCTTATTTTGAATTTTGACCCTATACAATACAGTTAGCATGCTAATGAGAAAGCCACAGCTAATGGGATGTTAGACCTAAATGAGTAGGTTTCACATCCACAGTCATTAACAGTTCTGAAAAAAATATCTGCATGCTGTTAAAAGCCTGATAAGCTGTTGAAAGTGCACAAAGCTTATAAATCGCAAGGTTTCATTCACCAGACTTCAAATAATCACACTATTTAGTATTATGTTTTTAATACATTTAAGGTTTCCAAACTAATCTTAAAATAAGAACTTGTCTTCTTCTTTCTTACTATTACTTTTGCTACGAAAACACAAAGCTTTTAAAACAGAACAGGATTTTGCTAAAAACAAATAAAGCCAGCTTGATACACAGGAAACCAACAAACAGTCCACTTTGGCAGGGATTTAGATTTTTTTTTTGGTTTGTTGATGTTTCATTCTAAATATAAAGTGATTTTAAGTTTTTTTTTAAACTGTGATTTTTTTAATATTTATGATTCTCTGCATAAAAGTACAGGTTTTTGTTCTACCTCTTAGACTGTACAGTAAACAAGAAAACGAAAAACATATTCAGATACCAGAAATGTCTTTTACTGTAGTTGAACCTGTGCAGATTCTGCATAACCAGATATTGTTTTTTAATGCTATTCAGTCATTCTATTCACAAGAAGGTCACTTTAGTGCCTTGCTTCTACGAATGTGTCTTGTTTTACTTATTTAAACCTTTCTCTTTATGTGCATGTATTTGACTCTAAAAAGGCACAACTCCTTGGTTCAAAAATCCAGACTAAATAATCTGTATTTTACCTTTCTTACGGTCTTAATGAGGGATTTTCTAGACTCAAGCTGAAGTGCACACTTTGATATTAATATTTTGGGTGACCAGACTTAAAATTGGATGTTAATCTAAATTATGATACAATTTGGATGAATGTCTTTACACTGATTGATTTTATTTTTAGATGAAAAAAGTTGAATGATATTCATAGTTGGTGTCATTCTTTTAAAGAATTAAACAAAATTGCTTAACATGTAATTTTTTAATCAGTCACAAATGACAGTTTGGAATGGATAATAATTTTTTTGTTAAAACGCTGGAGGATGTGACTTGGTAGTGGTGGAAAACCCCTAATCTATCCCTAAATGACATTTATTCCCTAACTATCACATATTTTAAGTCACACGACGCCAGCCAATGGCTTCCCTTTAGGCTTTGGAGCATCAACCATTACTCTTGGACCCAAACAGAAATATTTCCCTCTTTTTGTGATGCTTCCACACCATTAATTAGATCATTACATGCTGGGATTATGTAAATGAATTAGCTGTTTATAATGGTAGCTAAACTATTAACCAGAGACGGCCTGTACATTTGCTTTATTAACATACTGTTATGTCTTTTTTTTAACAGTAACTGATTTAAGAGGAGAATGCAATGAAAGCTAATTTAAACAACTAGACCCTTCCCCCCCGTGTAAAAGAAAGAAATTGTCCTTTTGTTTCTTTGAGAAAAGCTGAATGTCAACAGCTGATCTTTACAAGATCGCTGTGGCAATATGTAGCGCTCTCTGATTTTAGATTGCACTTGAGCATTTTCTCTGTATATAGTTGCATTTTCAAGATATTTGAAAAAAAGAAACGATAGAAAACATTAATGGATGTAAGAAGAAGACGTCCAAAATTGATTTTTTTTTTTAAAGCAGCTGGGTATGTTTGTTTTTCCAGGCCATGGTAGCTTGTAAAATAAGATGAAACTGCCTCCTGTTTGTCATAGAAATCACAAATAAACGTGTCATGGATTTTGATGTTCTTTGCTGTCTACGCCTTTTTGTTCCCTCTCTGTTTGGCATTTGGTGGGACTGAACTTATTCTGGTTTGGGTCAGTGTGTTTTCCACGGTTTTTCTTCTCTTCGGTGCATTTTTGTGAAATTATATAACTTTTAACTGGATTGAAGAACTTTTGTCCTTCTATTCATTATTTTTGTATACTTTCATTTACTTAAATGCTTGCTGCTGATAAAAACAACCTAAAAATGATTTTAAATTTAAATTAAGACTTTCAGAGCAAAGGGATTTAATGTTAGACAAAGATAATCCGGGTAAATAAAAATGTGGTTTTAAAATATAATTATTTATTAAGAGAGAAATAATTATTGGAAAATCTAATTGACCATCTTTAATCACCAATTTACCGATTAACCACATTTCTCTTGTAATTTCACCAACCCTATCCAGGTTTGATTATTGGTAGATCTTGAGAAACAGGAACTCCTTTACATTAAACCCATCTGACAACATGATGTATGTAGAGTCTTATACAGCAAACAATCTTTCCCCAACCTATAGAAATTCAAGAAAAGATGAGAAATCATTGACATCTGTTAGCCTGACAAATGTTCCAGAGTCATTTCTGGTGCTTTGTGACTCCAGTAAACATGGAGGAAACTGGGGACAGTCAGACATGGTGGTTTCTGTAGAATCTAGATGACCTGAAACAACTATTAGAATAATAGTCATGAATAATAACAGAAGCATATTAATTCTACTCTCCATCAGGAAAACCTGTAGAGAAATGGTCAAGTCATCAGGGGTCTATTTCATGAAGCAGGTTTAACAAACTCAGATTCAAATCCGCAGCTCTAAATTGATGTAGCCTAAAGTCGGGAACTCTGAGTTTTCGGTTTCACAGCCGCTGCTATGAGTTAGTAAGGGGAGTGGTGGCCTAGTGGTTAGGGCATTGCGCTTGGATCCCAGAGGTTGTGAGTTCAAGCCCCACTCTCAAGGACTGACACTCTGTGTCTCTGAGCAACGACCCATAATCCCACACTGCTTCCAGGGGGGCGCACAATGGTTGCCCACTGCTCCCCAAAGGGATGGATTAAATACAGAGATGAATTTTAGTGCTTTTGTGACAGTTTAATGAGAATAAAGTTGAATTATTCTTCTTCAATCAACTCCAAGTAGAACCACTCAGTTTAGCACATGCTTATCAAGTATTAAAAGCCATTATCAGAGGAACACCGATGCGACAAGTCACCATGGCAACATGAAGTGTCTATTTCACAACATTCAACCTAGATTTTTTAATGCAGAAATAATATAAAAAAGGGAAAATGTACTGTATTAAAAGGACAATGAAACAGCGCTACAGCTGCAGAGAAGAGGAAGATGGTGAAAGAGAAGATTGTTGCTCAAGTTAATGAGTAAGTTTATATGAGGTGGGCAATATTAGGCTGATTTTACAATTATTAAGAGCACTCTCCTCTCTGTTGCTCCATTTGTAGATTGCTAAAAAAAAAAAGATTCTTGCTGGTAAAAATCCCACTCCGAGATCTAACTGTAAAAATATTTTTTCTAAATTACAAATTATGTAACACAAAATGAAATTTATTAAGTAAAAACACAACGTTATACTAGTAAGAATTAAGTTTTATATATCTAGAAATGTTTCCACATTTTAAGTGGCCGTTCTGGCATTTATCAGCTTGTCTGCATATGTATTTATATATGAAATACATTTTTTCATGCAAATCCTGACTAGTAATATTAGGAATATGGAGATCTGAAATTAATTTATAGACATCCAGAATGTTTATTCTGGATGTGTAGAAGGTCATTTTGTTTAAAACGGTTCTTTAGACAAAAAAAAAAAGTTTTTTTAGATATCAGGAATACATATTCAGTTAAACTACTATATATCAATATGGCATGCTTATTTTTGAAGGCTAGTAGATAAATGTATCTGTTTAGGTGAAATCTTCTTGCAGCAGGAGAAAATGAAGTCAAAAAAACGTTCTAATAGATATGAGCTGTTCATCATCTCATTGGTCCCTCTTCATGTTGATTCAGTCTTCTTTTATACAGTAAAGTGGCTGTTTGCAGTCGCCCTTCGGATGTTATCATCCCAATAAATGGTAGTTATTAGCCACTATCAGTCCCTTAAAATGGCTTCAGATTGTGCCAGTAGGCTCATTAGGTTATAATCGAGTGAATCTTAATCTTACCCCTTAAATAATTCATTTTCAACCATTAAATTAATTAATCTATTTATGTGTAATCTAAAAATACTTTCCGTTGTTTTTCATGTACTGTAATTATGACAGAAATATATATAAAATGATCCAAATCTCATTCATAATGGACCAACCAAAAAAAAGTATTCTCATGCCATGTCAACTGAGTTGTAGAATCGCTTTCCCTATAAATCAAATTTTCTGTGAAAAGTGCAGATCATTCTTTAACCCTGTAATGCCAAATGTATCATATTTGATACATACGGTTTCTGAAATGTTTTGCATCTGACACCTTTTGCATAATTTAATGGTAAAAACTTTGTTATCGGGTATATCTGATTGTGTACAATAGGATTTTGAGCAGAGGGCAGAAGACTACACATAAAATAATCTTGACTTATCACACAGTAATAAATTATTAATATCAAAAATGTATTTCTGTTTTTTCTTTTTACATATTTTGTTAAAAGGCCAAATAAGGACTTCAAACCAAAAAAAAGTAATTTTCTGTTTTGTTTTATTCTTGGATCGGGCTTTAAAGGGTTAATAAGATCCTCATCAAACAGACATGCAATGTTTGTTTTTAAAACCTAATGTGTGTAGCAGACCTAGTGAATGTTTTGGGGGTTTTTTTATGCACAGAATTATGACAAAAATCTGACTAAATCAGGAAATAAAACAGCGTGATTGGCTGTAAGGAGAGCATAAACAGAGGAAACTCAGAGTTTACTGAAGAGAACCTGCTACTGACCAGGTTAGCTCTGAGGAGAATGTTACTACTGTATGGTGACTGAAACAGAGGTTGAGGAAACTCTCTTTCTGAACCAGAGTTTCCATGTTTCAGGTTTAGAAAAAATCAGGTCTAGAAAAAATTAGATTTTCTGGTAAACCTGCTTCGTGAAATGGACCCCAGTTTAATATCTTAACCTCAGACACCATTAGGTTATACTGCACAAGGTTCACCTGTACTCTTCTACCTTTGGACCAGCTTAAAAAAAAAGATCTAACTTAAGGTGTTGGAGTGGACAGGGCAGACTTTTGACCATGTTTAAACCCGCCAGTGTAGTTGTAGATATACACAGCGTACAAACTGTACAGGCAAAGTCTATAGACTTGGCTTAAAGTCTTAAGTTAAATCTCCTCCCTTTAAAAGGAATAAGAACAGGCTGCAGAAAACCACTAGGAACCCTTATCACAGGAACTCAGGCAGCGGAAGAAAACAAAAGGATCACTTCCTGTTTTTGAAACAGGGCGAGGAGTAGGAGTTCAGCTTTATAAGGCGTGGCAAATCAAAACGCAGGATGTCAGTATAGGTTTTATATGTAGCTTTATGTTTGTTTTAAAGTATTCACAGGTTTTTTTGCCGTCAACAAGCAGAGCAGCAGTAGACGCCATTCTGGACACGTGTTTTTCACCAGCTGCAGATCATATGGTGTCTTATTAAAGGAAATTGAGTCTTTTTTTATTGGTTCTGGTCTTCTGTGTGCCGTCGTCTATCAGCATGGCACACAGGAGGAAAACAACCTCATACAAACTGTGAAGCATGGAGGAGGGAGTGTCATGGTGTGGGCATGCCCTCACCCCCATAGGACCCATCATAATAGCCAAATAGAATCCATCATGAATTGTAGCCTGTATCAGAGGGAACTTGAGGGAATCATAACATCATCTGCAAAAAAATAAAAATAAAAACAACTTATGGATAACAGGACCATTGAAAATGGTGGTGGTTGATTCAGCTGACGTTATTTCAACCGAGAAGGGTAAGGCTAGCCATCAGGAGGTTTACATAACATTTTTTTTATATGCTTTGTTTGATGAATAAAACTTTTTTTTTTTAGATAATAAAAGATTTTTAACATCAATATGGAAATATTCTTTCAAAAGACCAGAATATTTTATGGCTGTCCTAAATAATCAACATAAAGGTATGTTTGTAATTTGAAAAGGTTAGCCAAGCAGCACACTTCTATGGAAAAAAAATGTCCAAGTCAAAATAACTTAAGATAAAAGAAAAGTATTAAATAATCTTTCTGAACAAGATTTACATGATAGAGGGCTAAAACTATCAGTGACACAATTTCATAATAAAGCATAACATTCACTAACTGTTTTCCACTTATGTTAAATGTTATATGATAGAGTTGGCTCCTCTTTTGCAGTGTTTAGTCCTGTTTCTCTCCTAGAGATAGCTATTGTTTTAATTTATCTGAAGCTAACTTTCTCTTTCATCCTCTGACCTGAAAGCTGCTCAGACCTTATCTTCTCTCCAGGTCAAAGACGCCTACGTGTGGAGCTGGTCTAATTTTACCTTCTTTAACATAGAAGGTATTCCTTAAACAGTGCCAATCAGATGGCCGTTCAAATTTACCTTAGTTTTTGTATGAAGAATCGCTACAAAGCCATTATCAAGCTGTCAGTACATGCTCATCCTGCTAAGTTAATGACTACAATCTGCTCAGTTTTCTTAGATAGAAAACTTTTAACCAATCTGTCTGTATGATTTGATTGAACTGTTACATGCAATTCAATCCAATTATGCTTTATTAATCCCCAAAGGGAAATTCAGTTTCATGTTTTGTGAATTGGTGCTAAACAACTAACCTGAATTAAAGCGAATATATCAAGAAAATTATTTTCTTTTTGGTTTTGTTGTCAGATGGTCTAAACCATTTTTTTCTTTCTTCCAAAAGATAAAGAAAACTAAGAAAAAAACTCAATCAAGGTACAATATGTTTTTTAAAGTATAGATTTGTTAGTTTGCTGACACCTTGGTTCAGTTAATCCGACAGATTTT